TTCTTTTTTCTTTTTAAATGGTTAGATAATTAAACCAGTTCATAATATTATGTGGAAAAAAATAGAAATAAATTGTACAAATGTCACCATAACAAATACAAGATAATGAATTCTCATGTATATATCTTCGTTATATTTTTAAAATATCTTTATATTTTGGAACAGGCACTTTATTATGAATTTCATCAGTACTAGTCACATTTATACTTTCACATCTATACTAAACATATCACCTACTTACAAACATCTACTTTTTTAGTTCTACAAATGTTAATGTGAGCCTAAAGGACAAGGGCTTTTGAGTGGTAGAGGTAGAAATTGAACCCACTTCACCTGCTCTCAATTCAGTGCATCTTATGCAAGGTTCATATTGTACGTTTTATTATCTGTCCCAGTAAGTCTCAGTAGTTGAGAACCTAATCATATATTTAGTAGAAAAGCATATAAGGGATGGAGAAAAGAACACTTGCCAAGAATTTGTATCTCTAGCTTTATTGAAATATAATTGACATGTATTATACATGTATAAAACATTGTATAAGTTTAATGTGTGCATCATGTTGATTTGATACACATATATATTGCAAAATGATTACCATCATAGCATTAGTTAACATCTCAGTTATTTCTCATAATTACCATTTCTTTTTGTGGTGAGAACATTTTGGATCTACTCTTTTAGCAGCTTTCAAATATATAATACACTGTTATTTTGTATAATCACCATGCTGTACGTTAGATACCCAGGACTTATAATTGAAGTTTATACCCTTTGAATAACATCTCCCCATTTTACCCATTCCCCAGTCCCTGGCAACCATCAGTCTACTCTCTGTTTCTACAGGTCCAGCTTTTTTTGATTGTATAAGTGATACCATACAGTATTTTCTTTCTCTATCTGATTTATTTCACTTAACATAATGCCCTCTAGGTGCATCTCTGTTGTGCAAATTTCAGGATGTTCTTTTTACAGCTAAATAATATTCCATTTTATATATATACACACCATATCTTCTTTATTCATTCATCCATTGATGGGCACTTAGATTGTTTCCACATCTTAACTACTGTGAATATTGATGCAGTGAACATGGGTGTGCAGATATCTCTTTATAATCTGTCTCATTACCTTTGGATATATACCCAGAAGTGGGATTGCTGGATCATATGATAGTCCTAGTTTTAATTTTTTTTTTTTTTTTTTTTTTCGGTACGCGGGCCTCTCACTGTTGTGGCTTCTCCCGTTGCGGAGCAACGGGCTCCAGACGCGCAGGCTCAGCGGCCATGGTTCACGGGCCTAGCCGCTCCGCGGCATGTGGGATCTTCCCGGACCGGAGCACGAACCCGCGTCCCCTGCATCAGCAGGCGAACTCTCAACCACTGCGCCACTAGGGAAGCCCCTAGTTTTAATTTTTTGAGGAATCTCCACACATTAAAAGATACATACTCATGTAGCTGGAAATTAAGTTTTTTTAAAAAATGGGGCATTTAATGTATACTAGATAATTTCCAAGTACTTAAAATCATTAACTCATTTAATCTTCACAATAACTCCATGATATGCATACATATATTTTGTATGATTTGCAGATGAAGGGATATCGAGAATTTAAATAACTTGCCAAAAGTCACCACGTTATTATATTGCAGACACTTTGAGCCTAGCACTCTGGTTCCAAACCAATGATCTTAATCATTACACTGTATTTATCATTCTTAAGCCTGCTAATTTCAGGGCAACACATTTGATAGTCTGAATAAACTTCAGGCTCAAATAAGCCAATTTTTTTTTTTTTTTTTGCGGTACGCGGGCCTCTCACTGTTTTGGCCTCTCCCGTTGCAGAGCACAGGCTCTGGACACGCTGGCTCAGTGGCCATGGCTCATGGGCCTAGCCACTCTGCGGCATGTGGGATCTTCCCGGGCTGGGGCATGAACCCGTGTCCCCTGCATCGGCAGGCGGACTCTCAACCACTGCGCCACCAGGGAAGCCACTAAGCCAATATTTTTGTTTGATTTTAAAAATTATTTTGGCTTATGTGCTCTTGTTATAACCAAGAAACTGAGAATTACTCTAAATATCCTGATTATGGGTTAGAATCCTGTGCATTTTATGACTATGTTCATTCTTTCAAATTCACAGCATGTTAAAATAACAATTTTAAAAAACCCACAAAACCTGTGCATGCATTTTACAAACACAACTTAGGAAGTTGGGCTACTATTTTCCTCTGTTTAAATCTTTCTGGGCTGCTGATTAGAACAATATGATTTAGGGTTTGCCCCCTAAGGATTAGGAAGCAGTTAGTCCTAATGTGAAGGAATGACAGTCAATGCACATTGCACATGGGAAACATAGGATTTAATATTTGTCCTTGATAAATACAACTTCCTACTCAGCATTTCTGACATAGTTTTACAATGTTACTTGTAAAAAAACTTCTTAGGGCTAGTGACTACAGGGTTTGTTACCGAACCAAACTTTGGCCTACTCACCAGACATGGAAAAAAGCCAATCTACTGACACCGGGTTGTGAAGGAAAGTACAGTGTTGATTGAGGGCACCAAGCAAGGAGAATGGGCAGTTTGTGCTCCAAAGACCTGAACTCCCTGATGGATTTCAGGGAAGGGTTTTTTAAAGACAATGTGATCAGCTTATGCACAATTCTCTGATTGGTTGATGGTGAGGTAACTAACAAGGTGATGTTTCAGGGATCTCAGACACACCAACCTTCTGGTTCCACCTGGCCTGGGGTCTTTGTGCTGGTGGTCAGCATGCAGTTAACTTCCTCCACCTGGTAGGGGTTTTAGTATCAGCAAAACAACTCAAGGATATGGCTCAAGATATTATCTATGGCCCTTGAGAAGGAACTAAAGGTCCTTGACTTTGTTTTATGGCTAAACTATTATTATTTTGTCTTGCTTGACTGCTTTCCTTTATTTTTGCATTTTCTCACTTCTCTGATTAAATTTGCTCTTTGTAACTCATGGAAGGCAGAGGAGGCTAAAACTTTCTACAAACAAGAGCTGGGGGATCTAAGGTGGGAGGAGGTTGTCTGTCCCCAAGAGGGCCCCGCAGGGTCCTGCTTGGTTTCAGTTTGAATAGTTTTCTTTTATGTATGTAAAACTGAGACCTCTGTATTTTAAAATATTACTGCTAAATTTGAAGGAGTTGAGATTTAGATAACTAAGGAGGGAATGTTTTCAGCAAGACTGGGGTCAAATTCTTCTTAGACTAGACTGTGTCACATAGAATGGAGCTGCCAGTGGAAGTCTAATGTGAACACATGGCATTTAATTTCCATGAAAGTTTCAATATTCTGAGTAAAATGTGGCTATGAGTAAAATAATAAAATATAAGTGGAATAGCATTACAATAGTACCCTGCTGGGTTTCAGCCACCAGCAGTGGAAGGGGCTGTTCTAAGAGCATATGTCTTTTTGGCAAAATTCAAAGGCAGCTGCTCTGGTTAGTTTCATAATGCTCGTGAGATTTCCATTTGATTACAGAAATGATGTCTGCCCTCTGTTGCTAGGCCTGTCATTTTGCATTTGCCCTACCTGTGATGTTATTTGTTAAACTGCTTTTAATGAGAAAAAAATACTTCCTGAGAAAAGCTTTAGCAACCCGCATATATTCTTTTTCCATATCTCATCCTTATTTGTATTCCCAACATGATGGATGACAACAGTTGCAAACTCATAATATGATTGTTCTTATCATGCCATGGTCTCTTGTAAATGCTGTCCTTTTTTGAGGTGGTGACCTGTTATATTTCTCTCTGCTGTCCAATTATTTTCTTGTAAAGGACTGATAAGTTAAATATGTGCCTGCTGTTTTTCTCTCCAAGAGCAGTTGCTCCTTTTTACAAATATTTAGAAACTCTGGACTTCCGTATCATAACAAAATGGAAGACTTACTAATATTTTAATCTCTAAAAGTGAGATGCTAAGAGTCTCTGTACACAAATCTTAAATATGTATATATACAGTGAAGTATGGGCAAATTATTGAGACAGTAAATCTGGCTGGAATTGCTATTTTGTTACTTTTTGCTGATTATTTGGGCAGTATACATAGGATTTCTGAGTTTCAACTTACTCATCTGCAAAACATTGAGACAAGTTAACATATATGTTGAGACAATATAATATGAAGATATATATGAAAATTTCTACATACAGAAAATAGGTGTATTAATCTGACATTAGTATTTCCCTGAGGACACCAAAGAAGTACAACTGACTACTAGGTGAGGAATATCTCATTTAAGTGGTTTGTCTTTTGAAGAACACCTTCTATCAACGTAACTCATTCTAGTTATCTAAAAAAAGTGACTTGTGGAAAAATTATCTCTTGAAATATTTGTTTTGTTCTGGATTCACAATTTTTCTGTGACAAAAGGAAAACATACAGGACAGATTACAATTTATAAATAAAAGTCAGTAAAACCAGTCAGGATTATAGAACATTACTCAAAAGAGAAAATAGTTGGTTATGGAAATTGAAAGAGCAACACAGGTGCAGAGGTTAAGTGGAAATTATGCAGCCAAAATTTAAAAGAAACATTCAAGAAGTGTTTGAAAATGAAGGATTGTTATGGCAAATCAGAGTACCAATAAGAGTATGATCAGTGAACTAATTATATTATGTAAATTAAAGCATAATGAGTAAAAGAAGCTTCTGAAGCTTCTTATTTTCAAATAATGTAAGAGGTTGAGAGAACGGAGCCCAGGCCGCCCGTCAGGCCCGCGGCTCGGCTTCCGAGGCGGGGGGAAGCCGGGTGGGCCGTAGTGGCCCCGAACCCAAGCCCTCTCAGCCCCGGACTCCTGCCCGGCAGGAGGAATCTGGGAAGAGGCGGATGCAGGCGCCTCCTCCGGACGCGTTGCTAATGATGGAGGAGTACGCCTAGGTGCTGCTGAGGCCTGCTTCGCGGTACAGCCCCTTCGCCGGGAGAGTTTCTTTAAAGTGCAGAGCTCACCCCTCACCCTCACCCCCGCGAGGTGAAACTGGTTGACGGTGATGGACTAGAGTTCAGGAAGTGCCATTCTGGACCAGCATTTGGCATCAACAGCATTTTATATCAGCGTGGCTTATATCCATCCGAAACCTTTACTCGAGTGCAGAAATATGGACTCACCTTGCTTGTAACTACTGATCCTGAACTCATAAAATACCTAAATAATGTGGTGGAACAACTGAAAGAATGGTTATACAAGTGTTCAGTGCAGAAATTGGTGGTAGTCATCTCAAATATTGAAAGTGGTGAGGTCCTTGAAAGATGGCAATTTGATATTGAGTGTGACAAGACCGCAAAAGATGACAGTGCCCCCAGAGAAAAGTCTCAGAAAGCTATCCAAGATGAAGTTCGCTCAGTGATCAGACAGATCACAGCTACAGTGACATTTCTGCCACTGTTGAAAGTTTCTTGTTCATTTGATCTCCTGATTTATACAGACAAAGATTTGGTTGTACCTGAAAAGTGGGAAGAGTCAGGACCACAGTTCATTACCAATTCTGAAGAAGTTCGTCTTCGTTCATTTACTACTACAATTCACAAAGTAAGTAGCATGGTAGCCTACAAAATTCCTGTCAATGACTGAGGATGAGCTAAAGACAGTAATGTACTTGTATTCTCAAATGTGGTTTTCCTGAAACCAAATCAACTTTAGTTGATATATTTCATTGGTTAATTTTTAGATGGGGAAAACTTAACATTATACTTTACTGAATCTGTGCATAATTGTTCCATTCCTTGGTACCTGTTTCACTTTCCATATGGCTGATGTAAGTTATTGCACACTGTTCCAAAGGGAACTAGCAGATTTCATTAACATTGTAATGTCAATTCCTTTGAAGGTAGTACTGTAGAAGGAAAAACTTTTGCCATAAAAATAAATGTCTTTCTAAATCAGACCTTTTGGTCAAGCAGCTTGACTCAGAATATACAGAAATATTTAAATGTAAAATAGAGCAAAAGAAATATGAATATTCAGAATATTTGTTTAGATCCTGAAAGTAACTAATGATAGTCCATAAGTAATAAAATATTGCTCTTATTAGGTCCTTTTGCCATTTATTTCATTTGTATAGTTCCATATTGAAAAATTTTCCAATTATTTGATTTTAATTTATATAACTTGAACCCATGAAGCTACGGATATTCCTACTGTTCAAATTGCTATGATACCAAACTTTTAAGAATGTCCTTTTATGTTTTATAAAATCAAGCTTTAAGTGACAATGATGAAATAAAGTTAAATGTGTATGTTTTAAAAAAAAAAAAGGTAATCTTTGGTGGCTTATGTGAAATGATTTCATTAGTGCATAAAATATTCAGAGTATCACATCCCTGCAATTAGCAGTTATGTTGAATATTTTTTATTTACCCTTTCCAATCCATTTTCCACCTTTCTTCAATCTACTCTGTGCCCTGGTAATGCCAACTTCCATGGAATAAATAATTAGAACTCCCTTACCCACATCTAGTTGTGTTTAGCAACAGGGTTTGTTTGGCATGGTACAGAGGATAGGAATACAGCAAAGTCAGAACATGTTATCTGCCCAGCACCTTCCCTGCCATGTTGTGGGTTCCTCCCCTAGACCTCAGCCCTCAGCTTCTGTTGAGCTAAGTATTCTGAGCATGTATATGCAAATTGGGAGAAACTATTTGTATTAATGTAATTATTGTATTATCCCAACTATGCTAGACTAGTTCAGTATATGTAAACCTAGAAACAATGCCATAACAACTTAAAAAAGTAAATAATATAACAACAAAGTATCAGAAAGAGAAATTAAGGAAACAATTCCATTTAACTTTGCATCAAAAAGAATAAAATACTTAGGAATAAACCTACCTAAGGAGGCAAAAGACCTGTACTCCAAAAACTATAAAATGCTGATAAAAGAAATTGAAGACAACATATTTTCCATTATAGAATGGAAAGATCACAAGTTTTATATTTAACACACCAAAGGGTAAATTGTTGCTGCAGTATTTACTTCCTGTGTAATTTTCATGTCCATTAACCTCAGTTTTCTAACCTGTAAGATAGTTTTGATAATACTAACTTTTCATAATAGTTGTAAAGACATCATTTGAATAGGATTTAAGAATATAAGACAGATGGTTGGAAAGCACTGTTTTGGTGTACAGTAGGAAGCCCCTATGCCTGGATCCATTTTACTAAAAATAACTTTTAACGAAATTACTTAAAATTTATTAGTTTTTCACATTTCTCTTTTTATTCCTTCCCCTTGCAAAAATTATGTTTCTATAATCTTGTGTTTGATATGTTTTACTTTCTTGTTATCCTTTAAATAAAGCTCTGAACAGTCATCATTTTTCCTCTAAGTATAACTTTGACTATTTAGAATTGCTTTTATGTATGCAATTCAAATTTTGATTCATTTACTCCCAGATTTTCGTCTAAGAGAAATTGTTTTTTGAAAGGCAGAATTTTTTTGAGATTAGTTTTTTTCTCATTTTAAATTATATTTATAGATTAAACACAATTATATGATTCTATTCTGTTATAGCAGTCATATTATTGGGTTTTGACTTACAATTTATAAACAAAAACCAATATGTAATAGAATTTCCAATCCCATTCACCAGTCAAAATAGAACTAAATCATTTCTGAATCTAGAATATCTAGGAATGGAGTTATAACTCTAGCTTTCCAGTAATTAAACTTCATTATCCAATTCTTAATATGTTTTGATGTTCATAAAGTAAATAATATTGCTATGCATCTGGATTTTCTATGCTAAGTGATGAAACAGAAGTTTCAAAAGGATATTTACCTGAGTAAGAATAGTTCTGTAGGAACGTATTTTGTGATCACTGTTTTATTTTTCTGGGTAGGCAACTCTTCCCATGCTCTGTGCTCAATGCTCTTTTGTAGATCCCCTTCTATTATTTCCATCTCCTTTCCTCTGCCTTTCTTTGCCTTCCAATTTCATTCTTCACGGTGCTTGGTCTCATCAATTTTCATTGCCTGAACTGTCATTGTGTGTGTGTGTGTAAGTATGTGTGCATATATATGTATGTGTGCATATATATGTGTATGTGTGTGTGTATATATATACGCACACACATTCTGTGTATCTGTATATCTGTGTCCTTCTGGCTCTTTCCTTGATATATGGACCTATAAACCTGTGAAATCAGCATCTCCACTTAAAGGTTCTCAGGAACCTCGAAAACTCAGCATGTGTCAAACTGAAATCACTCTACCTGAATTTATTATATTGTGAATAGTATCACTCTCACTCCACTGTCCAGCCAAAATTCCAGTCTTCTTCCTTGTCTTGTCCCTCCTTCTTATCTTTCCCACAGCAAGTAAAGCACTCCAACCCTCTAATCCTTTTAATCCTACCATCCAAATATGTTTTTGAACCTATCCACTCTTCTATCGCATCTCTCCCAAAATTTCCACTACCATGATTTAGAACACAACCACTTCTTCCCTGGATTAATGTTTAATCTTCTAATAAGTCTCTCTGCTCTGAGTTATTTCCATGTCCACATGTTCTCCACACAGTAGACTATTTCTGTTTTATTTCTAATTATCATTCATTTGTTTTGAGTTGAAAGGAAGCTATTGTTGGATATTAATATCTCCAGTTATTAAAAACTACTCTGAAAAAAAAAACCTACTCTGCCAGTTCAGAGGCTGTTGTGAGGTGGTGGTGGTGGGGGCAGTGGTGGCAAAATAATCTGAGCATTTGAGGTACCCATTCCTCCATTCCTGATTCACCCAAGATAGCTCTGCATTTATCTTCTTTGTATATTATAAGTCTGCATTATTTTTATTGAAGAAAAGATGTGACAATGGTTGGAAACCATTATTATATCATTTTTCCAAGTAAAATTGTCTCTATTGCAAATTCAATACAAATATGCTAACTACAGAATATCCCAATAAACAAATCCATATATCATGTTCCATCCCCTCAGAGTCCCAGAATTTCTCTGGAAATTATTTTTGTTTTCAGTAGAATGTAGTTTACTCGCTTTTCTTATGTTAGGTCTGTTCTTTCTCTCTTTTGATGAGCAGATTTAGCAGACCCAGACACAAACTTCCCAATCAAATTAAATGATTAAAAACGAATTTAACTTATTAAATGTGTTCTTAATAGAGAATGCAAAGAGAAAATTTTCAAAAATATTTCCACAAGCATACACTCAAAATAAAAGCAATTGATTTTATAGCTAAAACCCAAGAAGTCCAAGTGAGCTAATTTTTTAAAAAGTGCTATCTCACTTTTTATAAACTCAGAAATTTCTTTCTTTTTTTGTTTGTGGTTTTGTATGCTGGTATTTTGGGTATGAATAGCTCTGGGCTAGGGGCACTGGTTATAGATAATACTAAGTTGCTTGGGGGTTTAGGCTCTCATATACACCATTACTTCTGCTTTGCTGGTTCTGTTTGCTGAAAAGCATGATTCTTGTGTGCCCTCCCTGGCTCACATTCCAGAGGCAAACAGGAATACTTTCAACTCCTGTCTCCACAACCAGTGACTTGTCTGTTAACTACTGCATTCTTTTATGCTGAGTGGAGCATAAAAGTGTAGCTCACTGCACTACCACTTCAGGCATCCATGATGAATCAATTAAGGATGTACTCGAGATAAAATCTCAGCTCAACTTTTAAATTTTTATTAAGTATTTGCCTCATCACTTGGACTACACAATTTTGGAGTCGCCTTCTGCTAATATTTGCTGGATTAAAGAAGAATTTTCTCATTTGTAAGATCTTCATGCCCTCCCTGACCTTCAATCTCTCCATCTTTTACTAGGACAGACAAGTTGGAGAAAAGAAAGATTCCCAAAGATATCCATCCTCTGTGGCCTCTGTTAGTTCTGAGATACGTTCCTTTCAATCAACACCAGTGTGGATGTATCCTGTCACTATAGCAACCATCTGCTTTCAGTAAGTTATTTCTACTATCTCTGATTTTCATTACAGACTCTATTTTAGTAATTCTTTAGAAAATAAGATTGCCATATTTAGCATATTCCTAACCTGAGTGCTCTTATTTCCTAAATCAGCAATTTTCTGCTTTTAAACAATTCTGAATACAATTTTACTTAAGTAACTCAAGATTTAAACAAACAGTAGAATTTTGTCAAAAGGACAAAATTTTGTGCAGTGGCACAAAAGTAGTTGATAATTGGATTTAAAGATCAAGACAGAGTCAGTGTTTTATTGGAAATGAAGATCTTCAAAATATTCTTTATTTGGTATTAGTAAGTAATTCCACCAACTCCTGCCCCAGTTTTAGAGTTAACATTGGCTGCTACTCTAGATGATCTGACTAGATTTCTTGGTTACTTATTAACTAGTACATGGCTGAAATTTCCAGGTGGTTCTCACAGTGAAAATTTATGATTCTTCGTGGCAAGCACAAAACAGTAGTTAGCCACATAAAAATTAGTGAATAATAAATTATGTCCAATATAAAAATTAGATGGTATGAATAAGCTATATATTTTAAAATATAAATAAATTATGCCTGTAAACTGTTATTTTATTTGAATAATCAATAAAAAGAAAGCAAAAGATAGTAATCAATGTATTTTATTACACTTAATCTTTTTAAGATTAATTTCTCTTTGGAACAACCATTTTCTCTAATCTCAGAGTAGATACGTATGAAATTATCAGCCATCCTTCTTTCTTTTTCTATTTGTTACCACAAAGTATCATGATTTTTAATCACATGGCTTTGTAATTTAGTGTTGGGAAATCAAATTTTCCAATTCTGATTGAGCAGGCATTTTTTAAAAATTCAGCAAATGTGTATTTTTATTAGCAGGGCAGGGAATAGAGTGCAGTTGAGTTATGCAAACGCAGGGTTAGATCTTTTCTTTATTTAAAAGTTTTATATTTTGCTCATCGAATTTTTGCATTAAGTTGGATTTTTAAAATTGCATGAAAACATTCATCTTGAAAACTGAGTTTTTGCTACACCCTAAATTCTATACCTGGAGTGAGTACCTAAATTCTCTTGCCCTAACCACAGTCCTGTTATTATCAAGATCCCTTGAGAGATTTGACATATTCATTCATAATATTTAAAGATTTGTTACTAAAAATGCTAAATAATAATTTATTATTCCATGAAAATATGTTATTTTTAAAGAACATTTTCATTCCATAGTCAACGATAACAAAGTGTTCATAATAACAAATCATTTTGGCTCTTCTTTGGATGATTTCCTAGGAAAGTGTGAAATCATAGCAGATAAGAAAATAATTGTCTTACATGAGCATTCTAATTATAAAAATTGAAATTATTTCTATCTGATGCATTTTTCTAAAGAGAAAACCCATTTACTTACATAAAAGATGTATTTTTATCTAGGATGGGCTTTTCAAAATGAATGAAAGTCTAGATATCAAGTCTTATGTTGTTATGCCACAGATATTCACAAAAGAAATACAGTTTTAAAAATGATTTACTCTAATTAAACCTATAACATTTTTTAGTGGTCTCTTCCTCATTTTAAAAAGGAGACTTCCACATTTAGTTGCATGTTTGACTAGCCTTGCCATAAGTGAGGCAATAAAAATAAGGTAAGGGGAGTTTAACATATGGTGAATTATGTGTTGGATTTGTCTATTCTGCTGGAGTGACACAGGGAGAGAAAAAAAACTTCCTGTAAATAAATATTTCTTTAAGACTGGAAGCTTTATATTTGTAGTTAGAAATAAGTAATTACTGAAAGACCATAATGTCCCTGTTGGATTTTATGAATCTAAAGATTATGTGATTTAATTTTGATATTTCATACATTGCTTGATATTTGATAATTCCTATGAACATTGGTACATCTCTAGCATCTTTAATTATTTGATAAATATATTAGAGTATTTTACATTTATAGCAAGAAATATGGCATGGGCAAAAGTCCATGAGAAGGAAACAATTATATCAAGTAAAACATAATTGAATTCTGTTTCTCTGAGGCAGTGTATCGGGTATTTGACTTACTAGTAGAAAATCACTTAACTTAAAAGAGCTATGTAAGTGAAAGCAAGTTTCTTTAGCATCTGGCTCTTACTGTTCTTATAAAAAGTTATGTGCTGCTGTTTTTTTCTTCAGTGTTAATGTGAATAGAAGGAATTAACTAAGTGCAAATGTATTTCACAGCATGATATGCTACAGGAAGTAATGCCAAATACACGACAAGTAGAATTAGCAATTAAAATTAGGCATATAGTTATTATCACAGTATGAGTAAATATATCTACACTCTTACTGACATCAATGAAGATAGCACTGAGAATAAGTGAAAAGTTCATTTCACTATTCAAGACAAATTATAATCTTCACTGAGGACCTCAATAACAATTGAACAAATTTTTCTCTGTGTGTGTACCTGTGTCCTGATTTTCATATAGGACAGTAATGCGAGTAGTTACCTGATTATCTTAATTTCTGAAGTCACCAAGGACAAATCCTTTATACAGAATAAGTCTTGATTAATAAAACTTTGTTACTGTATGTTCACTTACTAGTCAAGTGGCAACTGCTGCCACACCAACTCTTGGCATTTAAAAGCTGAACTGGTGCCTCAGCAGAACTGTAGGGTTAGCAACTTTGGAGTTTCTCACAATAGTAAAATGCTTGGAATAATACTTAAATTCCACAATTGTCTTCTATCATCTTTTTGACACTGCCTTAAAGAAAAACCACATTAGATATCACATGATAATATGTCTGAATATCTATATAGATATATACAGAAATCTCTCTATATATATATGGAGAGAGACAAAGAATATTAATAAATAAAAGTTCAGTAATCTATGTAAGCATCATTCTTTAGTGCATATATTTAGCTAGCTCTTCACACTCACTTCATGTAAATCACAGAAAGTTTTCTTCAGTCAGTCAATAAATATTTGTTGATTATATGTGATGTGGAACTTACAGAGATTAAAAATTTTGTTTCTCATTAGTATCGATATTTTCATCCAATAAATATTTTTGAGTGCTTATTCTGAATCCTTATGAAGAAATACTTATAGAATCCCTGAAAATTATCTATGAGAATATGTGAAAGGTGAACTATAGGAGGATTTCTTTATTTTTATATATCCAATATTGCACCTATATACACACATAGAAACACACATAGATACATCCTTCCATATACACACATAAATATTGATACTTTCTACTTTTTTGTATCACTTGAACTAAAAAACTAATAATCCCCATTTACTGAGTCATAAATCATACATAAATCTGACTTTACAGTCTGGTCTCACTTTGTTATACAGCAGAAACTAACACAACATTATAAAGCAATTGTACTCCAATAAAGACGTTTAAAAAAAAAAAAAGAAGAAGAGTGAGAATTTCAACTCACAGATTTACCTCTTCAATGAGGATGTGTCCTAATCTTGGGGACAGCTGAGAGATTGGAGCTAACAGAGACAGATGCATAACAAGGGCAAAAAGCAATAGAAAAACTTTCCTTTCTATTATATATGCCATAGTACTGTAGCTGAGATAGCTTTCCTGTCAACAGCAACTTGTCTAAAATGCAATAAAAATAAACTCTATTGTGTAACATTAACAATATATGAAATACCTAGTAAGAAAATAAGTTGCCTAAGATAAAAAGTCATTAAGGAACAGAAAAATTTTAAAAATGTTGTAAGTCACATAGTAAACACATTAAAAGTATAAATCTGTAATTTACTGTGATCTCAGTAACAAAGATATTCTTATTTATTTTTCCAGAATTAACATGGTGGAATACCTATGTGAGAAACCCTCAAATTATGTGGTTACTGAAAATTATGAAGTCTTTTTTCAAATATTAAAATGTATTCCATATCAGGGATAACCAAAATACAATTCTACCATAAGGATATACAAGCAGATTAATAAATCAACAAAAAGTCTAAAAGCAACACAAAGTCCATGTAGAAATATGATAAATGAGGCATCTTCTTATAATGTATCTACATCATAAATTAATATTAAAATATATATCCCTGCCCCATTTTATATAGTACTAAATGCCTGATGGATTTTTAAGTGTGTCATGGATTTAAAATTTAAATATAAAAAATAAGCTTTAAAAAAGTACTAAAAGATTAAATATGTGGTTGGAATATGTATGGTATTAGTGAAAAGAAGGACACAACAAATAGAAAACAAAAAACTGGTATGTGTCTTACAGAAAAATGTAAATGCTATTAAAATAACTAAACAAGATAAGTAAAATTTTAATTACAAACAATAATTTGGAAAATTGTATAAATTATGATCTAAATAAAGCATATCCATAATACTTAAGTAACTCTTATAAATCAATACAAAATAGAAACAGGCACTTCACAAAAGAAAAAAAATAAAATGTTCAATAGGAATAAATCCCAGTATGAATCAAATAGATGTGCAGTCAAAACGATGATTGAACATGCACCCCATTAGTAAAATTTTAACCGTAATGAAAATAAGCAGGTTGGTGAGCTGGGGAAGTTGAATTCCTTATAATTACTGGTGGAAGTATGAATTGTGGAACTCTTGTAACTGTCAATACATTTAAAATACATATACACTTTTATCTAATCATTACAGTTCTAGAAATGTATCCTATTAGAAATACAGTTCAGATATAGAGGTAAAATAAGTTTAACTCAATTTTATTTTAACATTAATGTATAATCATAAATGTAAAGGATCAATAGTCAAACCTAATGTATAATTATGTAAAGGAATAATACGAAATTTTTAAAAGCTGGGCTGCTGTTATAAGAGCGACATGAATAGTAGATATTCTCTGAAATGAAGAAAATAATAATGTAAACCAATACAGGGATAGAGGTTTTTATTCTGTAAGGTATCTCTGCTTAATCCACGTCATGTTTGTATGTGTATGTGTATGTGGAGGCCAGTGGCGTCTATGGCAC